CAAAAATAGATCAAGTGCTCGTCAGTCGGCTGGTATCACGCAATTTACTTTCTCTAAAGAGTTTGAGTAACAATAAATGAGTATTCATTCCAAATTTTAATCAGATAATCAGGCCCAGATCCTACGATATCCATGGCGATCGTAGCAAAAATTTTTTTGGGTAAACAGGTTGATCTTTCCTTTCTTTTCTTAACTATTCTTGAACAGCTTGGTAGAACTGGGGCAGATTTCCTATGCAAGCCAGACCAGATACTTCTGAATTACACTGGTGGAAAGGTGGAATATCTATGTTTGGAGTGTCCTGCCTGTCCCCCAGGATCACAACCTTCTGTTCCTTGTGGAGACACAATAAAAAACTGGACAGCCATACACTGCGTTCCATGCCTACTTGGAAAAGAATTTTCTGACAATTACGACAAAGCTCCGTGCGCGGCTTGTACTGTATGCTCGAAAGGGAAGGCAGTGTTGAAGAACTGCACTCGTGTATCAAACAGTAAGTGCAGTAGATGCAGAAAAGGATATTATCATGAGCCTTTCTCGTTTGATTGCAAGCCTTGTGCGGAGTGCTGTGGCGATAGAAATGATGAATATGCCAAAGAATGCGAGCGCCATAATCATAAATGCAAAGTTCGACCTACACCATGCAGCCACACCCAGACAACTCTTTCGAAAACATCGACGCCTACTGGAACTGTGCCAACAACTCAGGAGACACATCTTACTAATATATACAACAAAATAACGACGGAACACAAGGAAGAGAAAGGCCTACCTTTTAATGAGCTGAGGTCGTCGTTGAAACCAACCCAGGCTGATGACAAGGTCCCAAACAAAAAAGGAGTGTCTGGGGATGCCACTGGGTCTGAAATTTCGCTTGTAATAGTCCTGTTTGTTTTCGTTGCTGTATTTTGCCTAGTAGTTCTTTTCTTGATTATCTTTAAGAAATCCGTTAGACTAAGACATACGTTACGGCGTTCAAAAGCGATGGCCTCGAGGGATATTGAAGGTAATTCCTCCCACGGAAGAGCACGAACTGAGTCCAATCGGTCACAGTCCAGAGGTTCAGAATCTACCCTTTTCAATCCAGCTACATATCCGCAAAATGTGCCTATTGGGTTTGAAGTACCTCCCCCAAGTGAACCAGCATTACCAACCCTTGATCGGTCTGAATCCCCTCTTTCAAACTGCTGGGAGCCCCATTATCCCATTCAGTCTGAGCCATTTCAGCCCGAAACAACGCAAGTAAGAGGATCACCATCATCTCCTCGTATCTTTACTGAATCATCTGAGAAAACTGTATGTGCTTTTCCCCGGTCTGGAAAATCTACATCACCACCCCAACACCGGTTTGAAGAGGCATCTTACCCAAACCTTAGTGATTCCTCTCAATCCGACCAGAATGCTTCCTCTTTGAACCGTTCATGTCCATTAACTAAGCCCGGAGGACCCGAATCGTCTCATGCGGACCACTGCGATTCACCTCATATGAACGTTCACACTACATTACCTCTGCCCAAATCATCAGAGTCCACTCGCTCAAGCACGCCTGTGAAAATTCGAGAAACTTTAAAGCCCGGTAAGTTCATTGAGGGTTGAAACGGTTCTTCTCATTTTTTTTTTTTTAATTCATTAAAAATATTACATTAACACGATGCGGTACCATCATGACATATTGGATTTTCAAATTTGAAACAAAAAGACCGGGAAACTTCTCAATCGCATAATTTCCATATACAATTAAAAAAATCACAAGAAATAGAATGCTCCAGTGCAAAAGGCAAAAATATCTTATGCTTCTATATCACAACGAGTTCAAGATACTAATAATCACGGTAACTTCTGCCCTAGGCGTTATGACCCTCGAAAAGTTGGAAGGAAAGCATTTCGAAGTTTTTGATCAGATGTGCATGAAGCTTGATGAAAAAAGACCAGGCATGGGAGAAGACTTTGAAAGGTTGGCTTCATGCTACACTGATATATCGTGCGAAATGCGAAACTCTTTGAAACGTGAGTTTCACACTCGCGACGGGAGCCCCTCTCGCGCTTTGATGATTCACCTAAAGGCCGCTTTATACCCGAATAGGCCCCTTCATGAACTGATGAACAACCTGGAAAGAATTGGCCGGAAGGATATAGTAGAGAAATTAATGCCATACGTTACTCAAAACGATGACAGTTCACCAACACAAGGACGTTCGCCACGCGTTAATTGCTAAAGAAAGTAAAGGGGGAGGGAGGGGGAGGGAGGGGGAGCATAGGGACCGGTCATTAATTATAACTTGGGGGGGGTCGAGGATTATGATTGTCACGATAAAATTTACCCGATCCTCCCAAAAAGCTTTCTAATACTCTTATGACCCCCCCCCCCCCTACATCGGCAACTAATTGGCAGCCTCCGCTTATAGATATAGTACCCTCTTTATACTCTCAAGCTGATAACCCTCCGTTTCCCCTAGGAACCATGTGATTCCACGGCCCCCAGAATCCTCCAACTGCACCCCTCCCCTCCCTTAGGATGAATAGTGATCGGTCCTTTAACAAAACTTGCTGAGGCCAAAATGCAGTCACGGTCAAAATGTTTTGCTCCGCGTTGTCACCGAAATTCAGATATGCTATAAACAATATGCATCATCAGGAAGATCTCCTGGCATGTCCCGTAGTAGAAATGAACTCTTCTGAAAGCCAGAAATAAAAATCCTTTCTCTAAATCTACACTTGTATACAAGGTGACAATGGAGGTACTGTCTGATACTGGCCAGTTCGTTGGAAACACATTTACTAGACTAGATAGCTTTAGACTGCAAATTGACAAAAATATACAAAACGGCACTTTGTATTTGTCGATAATTTTTGCCACAAAATGTTGATGGGAGTATAGCTAGTCCCCCAGTTGCATTTTTAATTTTTTTTTTCGTGCAAAAAAATTGTGCTTAAAAATATTTTATCCATTTCTCATTAATCTCACCTTCGCCACTTCTTTGGGTTGAGAATTTTGTTTATTGGTCTTGTATTGAGAAAACACCTAACTTAGCCAAGAGAAAATAATGGGATCCCTTGACTTCGCTTATGACGACAAGATCACATTAATTTTAGGATTGCTTAAAATGTTACACAATATCGGGAATCTTGTCATAAGGCTAGGTTTTCAGTTGTGGACGTGATTTTATTTCAGTGAGCTTTTGTTTGAATGTGGTTCGATTTTTGCCACTTCATTTGACTCAGTAGTCTTTCTCGTGAGTAGGGGAGCGTGGGTTCATTTGCCCAAGAGCGGGAACCCATTGAACCTGCTTAGTGAAACAGTTTAGTCAAACGTTTGTTGCCTGTGCGCTATAGTTGAAATGACCAAGTTGCGGCCCTATATCTTGTTTTCAGGCCAACAAAAGCAAGTTTCCTCGCAGGAGTTGTTCACAACATAAGCCTATAACACAAGAAGTAAATAGTTTTTTTGATCAACCTCAGTCAAAAAGATACCTTTAATTCATTGATTTGCATATTAGGAAAGTCTCAAGTTTTTCTTTCCGCTGCGTTGGTTCCATTAATGCACCTTTGTGAGTGTGACACCAGGTGTGGTGTGATGTGTGACTGTCCTAAATTGACCGACTGGGTGTATGCCAATCGTTTAATCATCGGGTTTTGTAAAAAACTTCGACTACGAAAAAAATTGACTACGTCTTTTTGCTTTCTAACGGCTTGTCGTTGAGCAGAGAAACCAGTTAATTCCACGTTAAATGTTAGCTTGTAGGATATTAAACCCGGAAGAGTTTCATGATATTGATATAGAACACCTGGATGAAACGCATGGCTGGGGAAAACCAGTTCCAATACATTGAGGCACAGCCATCACCATGATGTATTTTTTTCAAGTTTCCTAACTAAGTAGTCATCACTTCATTTTTAAGTAGTCTGTTCCTTACGCAATGAGGGAAACTAAAGCAAAACGAAAACGACGAACATGACGCAAAAACAATGACATAAAAAAAAAAACCGTAAAGAGTTAGTCCATTGGTCGTGTGAGCTACAACTGTAGTTTATGTTAAACGGTAATTATTAAATTTTCAGCCGTGATTGCTGAGTGCTGTCGCATTTTTCCGTTGAGCTGCTTTTCATGCCTGATTTGCAAATTTTACACTCAATTAATGTACTTAGGCTGGTGTGTGTAAGTAATACCTCTTACTAACCGAGTTCGAGGTCTTCCCTTGAGTTACAGACCAAATTTTCTCCACGGAGTTACGCCTTAAGCGTGTAGTATGAGGGTTTTATAATCCGGACGGAAAAATCGGTCCATAACTTACAGTACGTACCTAGAAAATGATGTTAGTAAGGTTATGTAATTTATCTCTGGGTTCAAATAACGAGGAAATATTTCAATTCAAACAAAATTTTCAACTTAACGGGATCTACAATGAAATACAGCCCTTTTAAATGGCCAAGCATAGCGCGCGTAAAAATAAACCCATGTTATTCGTTTATCTTAGGTATTGAATTAGGTAACTATGCTAAGTATCCCTATGTTATTAATGACGGCCTTATAAGTTATTTATAAGTGGTGTTATCGTTATGATATTCTATAAAGAACTTCAGCTTGTAAAGATGTCTTAATTTGAGGATTACAACGAAAAGGTAATTTAAATTATGATCTTTAATTATTTAAATAATAAAATATTTAGTTCATAAGAATAAAGAAAATCTCTTTCATTGAGGAATTACACCATGCTATAATTAATTTGTTTGATGCTCTTTCCGAGTCTAAATACCAAAAATTATACAATTTTACACTCCCTCTCTTCCTGCTTCAATATAAACCGACTTTAGACTCTTTAATTTGCTGAACTTTCTTTACGGATGAAAGGTACCCGAACGGGTGTTGAATGCATACCAAGAGAATATATTTTTTCTTGATGCATACGGATAATTATTGAATGAAAATTATCAAAACATTTTAATCCAAGTGTCAGATTGGCTTTTAATGAGAGACTTGGAAACAGTGAATACTTTGTTTTGATTCTGACGTTTCAATGATGTGAATAGCCATCATAGTATTTTGTCTAGGTAACGTGTGCAAACCTTAAGAACACGAGCTGGTACCGATGAAACTTTTTCATCACGGAGGCGCGTAAGGGATTTTTAAAGGCCTCCTGATTTTCATGTTCCCTTTAGAGGCTTTCTCTGTAATTTGCGAAACGGAACGAAATAGAAATCTATAAGTTGTAAAATTAGAAATCTTCAATTTGTGAAATGAAATTCTGTAATTTGCGAAACGAGAATCTCTGTGGAAAACTCCACTGGTGGAAGAATGAATTGGTCAGTTCACCTCCAGTATGGATTGCATTAATGACAGCATAATATTTTCCCGTCCGGCCCTCCCACTCAGTCAATAAGGATTTTATCATATGACCACTGACTAAGTTTTAAAAAATTCGAAAAGTTCCGTTTGAACTGAAACAAAATATTAAATTTCTAATTGTGCATCAGTGGCTCACTGCTCTTTCACAATTAGAAATAATTAAAAGATTACAGCTTGAAAGCTTGACGCCTATACATAACCGCTATATCTTGACAAACAGAACATACTTAACAAGATTAAGGAAAATTGGAGACGTTTACGAACAAGGAAATTACCCATCAGAGTCAGTTTCATTTGGACCCGTCTCCTTCTCTTAGCCCATGAAAAAGGTTTCTGTAGGAATATATATAAAAAAAAAAAATAAATAAAAATAATAAGAGACAATTCAATAATCAAAGGGGAGAGTGAGAGAGTGAGAAAATGAATTCTTTCTCCACACCTAAACCTCGTTGTATGACGTGATACTGATGTCCAGAATGACTGACATTATAGAAACCAGTCCACGTCACTTACCTTACATTCCCTCTCGTTATCCCCAGGAGAGGGTGAATGTGAAGTTTCAAGTTGGCACTGACGCAATTCTCGAATGCTTTAGATTTCGTGCCTAAGAGAGGAAGTGCATGTAACATTCTGAAAACTGATTGGCTCATTACGGTAACAGGAAAAACCCCGTCGATTGACATAAAGGATTAAACCGTGATCATGCTTATGAAGCTTATGTTAGTTCTAAGACTTGAATTAGTAACTACAGTATCTAAGATTCGAGTACACTTCTAGTGTTCCTCAATTGCTTCAGTACCCAGAGGAAATATTTTTCGATTCAAGATGGGACAACAATCTTCTCGTCTGCTGGAACTGAGCTCAACGAAATTTACGTTAACAGGATTCAGGCACCATTCTGACTGCACTATGACAAGAAGGGACTTCGTTCTCGCACTGTGGTTCTTTATGCTGGTGAGTAAATGGCTCTCATCAACTTTATTTCATAACACAATTAAATCATAGACTTCAGTCCCGTTGAACGTTTCACAGTTTGTGCTTTCTTTAAAAGTACTATTTTCTTTGCAAAATAGTATTTAGGGATGGGCTATATTTGCTTACTCATCACTTCATGGATTACGAGAAATAGTGTTGCATTACACATCTCCATGGGTAAATTGTACTGTTCTGGTTCGACTATTCTCGACATGTGGTTCAACTAAAAGAATTTTTTTGATAAAATTTTGATGCTTTTCCCCATATGTGTTTCCATAAGAAGTAATTTTCGTTTATAATCATGAAATCGAGAGCTTCGTTGCGTGACAAAAGCGATCGATATTGGGACACTTATTTTGGTTAGAAGTCATTCGAGTTTAATATCCACTTGCTTAAGTTTGTATTTCATTTGTATTCGAATTAGCTCGCTGGGTACTTGGTCGAAGTTGTTATCACTTTTGTTTCATGACGATATTCACAATCGCGTGCACGCCGGTAATTTTGATGCCTGTGATCAAAAATGGCTCGCGTTCGGTGTTTCGACGTAACGAATTTTAAGGGAATTTGGCCATGAGCATCATAAGTGACTACTATAAATAGCGAACGGTGATACTCTGTATAGCCGGAATGACATGGCTTACGAATGAAATAGAGACAAAAGATAAAAGACTCTCATATTTCGATAAGATATTTCGACTAGTGTTTGACCCTTGTTGTTTCAACTCATGAAACGTAATGACTCATGTTGTTTCAACTCATGAAACGTTATGACCCAATTTACCAATGTTCACTTTGGCTTGTGCAATTTTATTCAAATCTAACAAGAAATGCAAGTACAGTCTAGCGCTCGAATTCGGTTGTCAATTTTATGAGGGAAGAGAAATGACGAAGGGACGGGTACTTTTAGCGAAGACTGTCTCCTTAGTGTTCCGTGACAGAAATAGAGGTGAATCTTGGGTTGTGAATCATATTTCAAACACTTGCTATTTGGTGGCAACATCACTTTCACAACTGTAAACGGTATTCATTTGATTAGAAAGATTCAACCGGTGAATTAGTTTTTGATAGAGTCTCATCTAAATACACTAGAAGGCTGTTTTTCATTGATGTCAAAATCAGCCAGTACTAATGACGTGAATCGGAAACCTAAGATATCCACTGTCTACTGTAAACCGATTTCCTCAAAACCCATCAGTGGTCTCAATTGAACTTTTTCTTTTACATTGATATTATATAAAATGAGATTAAGTACACTGTAAGTTCTGTACTGCATTTCTGTCATTCTAAGAAAATATGAAATTATTTACACAACTGAATCTGACAATAGGTGTCATTTTACTTATTCAACTGATTTCCTCTCAGAAGTTTACAGCACTTGAGGTTGTTTTCACTTCAGCTTCCATCGTACTATTCATTTTGATGTACAGACGGTGTGAACGGGTATGATCAATTTTTATCACAAATTAAGTGACATTATAAGAAATTACATATGAATACAAACTTGACAGAGCACGTTATATAATTTGGCTTAGAGTGAGTGGGTTAATGAAAAATTCCACATGAACGTAGTTCAGGCTGTACTTGCTCTTCAGGTAAATAAAGAAGATCAAGCCAATTTTTTTGCGTATGGAATCACAACAATGGAACTGGAATTTCACTTGATATGAAATTCACATTTTCAATATCAGGGGAGAGTTATGTTTCGAAAAAATGATAAATATCAGCTCAGTTTTGCATGAGTCATTCTTACTTGTATATCATTACTGAAAATTGAAGACTTCAATAGGGCATTGCGCCCAAGAAACAATTTAACTAATGATAAGCATTTATACCACATGATGAAATCACACGATAGGATTAATAAATATGATAATTAAACTGAGTAGAGTACAATTTAGCCTGTATATAACTATACGCCCGAGATCTTCCAATTCAAAAGTAAGATTTCAGATCAAATTGCTCGACACACTATATTACTTATCTTTGACAAAACAGCAGATACATTTTAATTTGAAGAATATATTAATCGGTCTTTTAACACCAGTATTTCCCTTACTTAACTATCTGTTACTTATAGAAGGAATAAAGAACTTCCAAGTATACGTGGTTTTCAATCAAAAGTCAAATTAAAGTACGAGACTGAAAAATATATCTGTACAAAAATGATAATTTAGATATGTTT